AGGCAGTTTTTCCTCCCTGGAAATTTTGAGGGCGTTTTTGTCCTTAAGTCCCTCCAACTTTTGTAGGTGTGTTCATAAAAAACGTCTTTTGAAGAGAAATATCGTTTCCAAATAAATGCAGCTTTTCCCACCTTTCCAAATCTCTGCCGTGATTTGAAATAAACCTTTAAGCTCCATAAATCTCAGAAACATTTTATATTATGAAGGAGCAGATTCTCCTTTCCTGCCGTTTCTTCTTTGCCAGGGAACTCAACGTTTTGCCTGCAAGGATTGTGAGAGAAAAGGGGATTTTAGGGGGAAAGGAATCAGTCCTGGGACTCCCAAATCCTAAGAATCAGCCTCTGAGATGAATTTAGTTCTTCTGGAGGGAAGTTGGAGGAAACATTTTCCCAAAAGAAGAAGAAGAAAATCCATATCCACAGATATGACGTGTCAGAGGATCTGAGCGGATTTTCTTCCTTGTAAAAGATTTCAATATTATTTAGGAAGGATGGATGGAAGGACAGTATATTAAACTGAAGAATAAATTTATAATTTATAGAATAACCTGGAATGTTAATAGAAATCCTGAGGACTTCAGTGATTCTATTTCCTCCACTATAGGATTACAGCCTTTTCACCATCACAGTCTGGAAATCTCTCCCCCCCCCACAAACTATCCCAAAAGGAGACCTTCTGTTTCTTCTTCTCCTCTTTCACTTCATCCATAGAAAACTTTTTTTCTAGTCTTTGCAGGAGATTTGGGTTCCTGTGAGTTACGCAAAGGCGGCTTAGAGAGATCCTGAATTCCAGATCCTGTTTCAAGAGCTTTGGGGGTCCAGAGGTGGCCTGGGTCCTTTCCAGGGATGGGGGGGCTGGAGGGGTCAAACTCCCCCCTGGCCCAGCACCAGCCTCAGCAGCCCAGAGCCAGGTCCCCCCCAGCAGCTGAAGTCCGCATCTGCCCCACAGTTGTGTATCTGACACAGCCACTCACACACAGTCAGCCCCAGATCCAGGCAGCCTCTGTGGGGCCTCCCTCCCTCACCTGACCCAGGCAGAACCTCTGGGCCCCTTTCATGCTTCCAACCCCCCAAATATTGTGCTCTTCTCCGAGTTCCCTCTGACATCCCCACCTACATACACACACACACACACACACACCCAGAGCAGCCCTTCCTTCTCCAGCCCCCAAGAGCTGCAGAGGCGCTTGGGCTTCGCTTCCCCAGCCTGAAGCTCTGGGCTCCTCCGAAGCGGAACTGAGGACCTGGCCAGGATCCAGCAGGCAACAAGCCTCCATTCTCCCTCAGGGCAGCTCAGGGACTCCCCTCCTCCTCCTCCTCCTCCGCCCCATGGCTGAGTCTGCAGGTGGGGCAGCCACAAGGTCCTCTGCCCCATTGGAGGCGGCTGAAGGGGCCCTTCCCCCCACAACCTCATTATAGCTCTCCATCAGTTAAAGCCCATTGAAGAAAGGAGTCCTTGACTTATAACGGTTCATTTAGTGACCATTTGAAGTTAAAATGGCACTGAAAAAAGTGACTCTTTGCCTAATATTCCTTCTTTTTAAAATATTTTTATTTGTGAAGAGACAGTAGAAGCGTATTCGTTCCCATCAGTGTGTTGTCCATTCGTTGCAGCCTCTTTAAATATGTTCCAATTTCTGCCCTTGAAGGAATCTACTTGTAGAGCCTCCACAGCTTCTGCTGGCCACAGTCTCCCTAGTTCTCTCCTGGGTCCTCTCTGATGAACCTTAAAGGCTTCTCTGCTGACCGGAGCCTCCCAGAGAGAGGATCGGAGGGGCCAGGAGGAGGAGGGGGAGGGGCGGCCTCAAAGGCTCCCTGGGGGTTGGAGAAGGCCCCGTCCAGGGTCTCCCCTCCCCTGGTGGCAAAGGCCCCGTATGGGGGGAGAGGAGGGGGGGCTGCTTCCAAGGCGGCCTCTGGTCTGCTGGGTTTCCCAGGAGCCTCTTTCCTCTTCCACCAGGCCCAGAACCTGCCTCCCAGGTGAGGCCAGGGGAGTCCAAGCCCCCCATGACTCTTGCGGGGAGCTTCCTCCGGGCCTCAACTAAGTAACAGAAACTTCCATCTCTTTCCTCTGGTTGGTTGGGAGGCTCAGAATATTCCCCCATTCCTCTTTCCCCCCCTTTTATCTCAACCCAAATGCATTGAAGGAGGTTTTTGTCTTTCTTCTGTTGAGTTCTGTTGGTTATTTCTTATAATTATTCTTCCTGTGGTGGCCCCAAGCCCCAGATGAGGAAGGGGAGGGGGAAATTCTGCCTCGGTGATTGAGGCCCCTGGAGTCCTGCAGAGTCAGTCTGGATGACCTCTGGAGGGGGCGAGGCTCAGTTGGAGGGCTGTCTAGGGGCATCTAGAGGTGATGGGGAGAAGGGAGAGGTCTTCCACTTAGGGCTGCCCCATTGAAATCCCCCCCTTTTTCCCACAGAGCAGGTCTTCCCCTCCGTGGCAATGTCTTCTGCACCAGGAACGGCTTCAGATGGATTCCTTAGAGGTCATCTAGTCCAACCACCTGCTCAGGCCTACACCATTTATACCATCGAGCAGGAGACTCTATACCATTGGAATCTGAGCCCCAAAGAGGGAGGGAGCCGTTGGGTGCCAAAATGGGGCAGGACCCTCCAGTTGTGGAGGAGAGAAATGGCTGAAATGGCTGGGTGAATGTAGGGGAGTCTCGGGTGCCCCCCAATGGCTCCCCACAAATGCTCAGGGAGGACCGTGCCTGCTGCCATTCTGCTCCTCCAAAGGGGGCTTGAGGGGAAGCAGAGCAAGGGGGCCTCTGAGCAGAAAGGAGGGTCCTGCCCCTTCGCCTCCCTGGATCTGCCCACCCTCCTCCTGAACCAGTTCTGGCTTCGGACCCAAAGTAGCCTGGATGGTGGATCCAGAGGCAGCGGAGGGAGGAGCCTCCTGCGGGGGCAGCAAAAAGGAAGAGGAGGAAGAGGAAGGGAGGATTCCAGGGTTTTCTTACATCTGAAGTTTATTCTTTTATAGCAAAGCGAAGGGAAGGGAAGTGAGTGGGAGGAAGAATAATGTAGATGAAGCTGCTGTGGGTTCAAAGCCAGGAGAGTTGAGGGGTCTGGAGTGACAGGTCCACCTAGCATCCCTGGGGACAGTCTAGATGGTCTCCACCCCTCCCTCACAAGAAAGAGCGGCCCTGAAAGGAAGCTGGGGTGTATGTGTGTCTCAGCGGGAGAAGCTCCAGGCTGCCGTTCTCCTCCTCCCCCCAAACTGCCACCTTCAGCCTCCATTTCTCACAGGTTGCAAACAGGACAAAGAGTCATCAGCTGTTAAATAAAAAATATGCTTTTGCATCGGAGAGCAGGATTAATTCATGAGTGCTGTAGAAAAAGAGATGGGGAAGAAAATCAGAATATAAAGAGACACTTTTACTGTAAATAATAAATTCTTCTTCCCTTTCATCCCCCACCCCCAAGGCAGACCCACACTGCGGGGGGTGTTCTGTCCCCAACCCCACACACACCCACCAACAGACGTTCAGGAGTTAAAGACCAAACCAGCCGGCAAAATCCTTTTCCTTATGATAACGGAACTTGGCAACAACCTAGTGGCTGCCTGCCAAGAGTTTATTATTTACAAAGAGGAGAGATAACTTCTCCCCACTTCTGATACATCAAAGGAAAGCAGCTCAATAATTACGGAACTAATCAAGTCCAGAGATACTCCAGCAAAGTCTTAAAGCAAAAGTCCAGCAATGCAGAATGGCATGGAAGCTTTCAGCTTTGTTCGTCACAAGGTTTGACTGGGCCCTATCTCTTGCCCTTCGGCAGACACCGAAGGCATTGCCAGAGAGGAGGGTCCCCTTCACTCTCGGAGTCCTCTCCTGACGATGACACAGGCTCCGGTAACGGAGCCACAACAGGGGGGTGGTTGATAGGCAGGGACACATAGAGAGAGAATCCGCCATTTCAGGGAGGAAAAGGCTGGGATGCTTCATATGAAGAAAGAAGATGGGGCTACGATGGGGGTGGCAGCAAAGGGGGGAGCCTGGGCTCACTTGGCCAGAAATCGGACCGGAGGGTGGGGTGCAGTTCAGGGTGAAGTTTTGGAGGGAGTTCATTAAGTTGATAGGGTCATCTCAAGGACTTAGCTCCCCCTTCCATCCGAGTACGAACGGAGGTAGAGAACGAGCTAACGCAATGATAGAACAATACCTGAGATGCTATGTTAATTATCAGCAATTTAGCTGGGCAGATCTCCTGCCATTTGCTGAAGTGGCCTACAATACCGCAGTGCATAGTAGGGGTGAAATGCAAAATTTGTTACTACCGGTTCTGTGGGCATGGCTTGGGGGGTAATGTGACTGGGTGGGCATGGCCAACTTTTTTTTTTTACTTTTAAAAGCATTTTTTTGGCGGAAGAGGTTGTAGAAAAAATGCTTTGAAAAGTAAAAAAAAAAAGCCTCTGATGATCATGTGGCTCAGCTGGGCATGGTGGGGGAGGGGGGCGCGGGGCTTTTTGCTACCAGTTCTCCGAACCACCCGCTCCCATCGCTACCGGATCGGGCTATCCAGTCCGAACTGGGAGCATTTCACCCGTGCTGTCACCCCTTTTGAAACAGCCACAGGATGGAATTTGTCCCCATTCCTGAATACCCTCAGGAACCCCCCTCCACAGTGAGCCTAACAGAATGGGTGGGTTGCTTACAAAATGCGTGGGGGAATTTAAACCTGGGGTGCTCCCTCCCACAAGGGAGGAATGGGAAGGAATGGCCCCCTCCTTCCCTTCCCTTCCCTTCCCTTTTGCAATTTCCCAAAACGTGGAAAAATTCTGGGCAAGATTTTAGCGTTTGTGTGTGCTTTTGTTTTTGATTGCAATACTTTTTCAGATCTCTGTAAAGAAACGTTGCCCAAAATCCAAAAAACTGCTCTATCCACAAGAAGGAGATTTTGTTCAGGCAAGTTTTTTTTTTAAAAAAGGAACAATTAAGGAATTTTAAAAGCCACCTATAACTCTTAGGAGGGGTTGAGATGAGGGGGAAGAGGAGAAACTCACCTGCAGGAGGTTGGATGGGAATTGCTGGAAGGAGAAAAAGACCCAATCAGGACCCTTCATGGGCTGGAGGACTCAGCAGGACCCCTCCCCATCGATAGCCCATCATAGGTTGTGTGATCTTCACTTATAAACCCCTCAAAAAAGAGAAGCTGCCAAAAATATTCCTCAAGGGTCCCCTCTTGGCCACCTGCTAAGCTTGAGGAGAGGCCTCCCCTAGAGGGTCCCCTCCCCACAAACCTCCCCTGCAGCCCCCCAGACTCACCTTTCTTGCTCTTCAGGTAGGAGAAGAGCCCCACAGCCAGGAAGGCCACTCCTATCACGGCCCCCATGATCCCCGTCCAGAGTTTGCTCCTGGCAGAGCTGGAGGAACGGGGCTCTGGGGAAGGAGAAGGAGCCTCACCTGAGCAGGAGGATCAGGCCCACCTTCCCCCAGGAGGCTCCATTCCAGCTCTCCCCATGGGGTGGGTTTCTCCCCCTTCTCAGGGCAGGGTGGGGTCCCTAGAGCAGGAGGGGAGGGAGGGGAGGGGCTTACCCCACTGGACGGTGATGGGGGCCTCCAGGCTGGCATGCCCCACCTTGCAAGTGTAGACATCCCCCCGTTGGGGCTGGGTCTCCAGCATCACCTGGCGCTGATAGGTCCAGTCTCCATTCTGGAGCTCCTCCCCAAAGGCCACGCCCTCCTCCTCCGGCCGCCCGTTCTTCGGCCACTGGATCTCGATCTCCACGGGATAAAAGCCGGTCGCGGTGCAGAGGAGGATGGTGTTGGGGGAGGAGGGCTCCATCTTGGTGGGGGAGATGGAGACGGAGGGCTTGGCTGGAGGGAAGGAGGGGAAGGAGCCACATGAGAGACACAACAGGAAAGAAACGACGCAGAAGACGGGAAGGACAGATGCAGCACGAGTCAGCCCCTCCCCCCACAGCCTCCAGGACCCTCGAGGGGGCAGCCTCAGCATCTCCTGGGTCCCCAGAGGTGGAGATGAAACCTTATAACATCAGCAGACGGAGGGGACCTCCAGCCCTGGTGACGGATGGCCTCACCCAGCGGCTTCATGCGGACGTTATAGAGGAGAGGAGAGAGGACGGAGCCAAATGCCTCTGGGCAGCCCTGAAGGTGATCAAGCAAGCTTGACAAGAGAAAGAAAGAAAGAAAAAGAGAAAGAGAAAGAGAAAGAGAGCAAGAGGAGAGGAGAGGGGAGGAGAGGAGAGGAGAGGAGAGGAGAGGAGAGGAGAGGAGAGGAGAGGAGAGGAGAGAAGATCTTTGTCTGAATTTTCTTTGGTGTTTCAATCACTTTTCAAAAAGTTTTATTTGGAGAGAGAAAATTTCTCCTTCCACTTTCCCTTTTCTCCCTTTAGGATCCACAAGATACACAAAAAATCAGCAGATTTCAGGGGGAAAAGTGCAAAATGTGATGTGGCTGCAAAACCCCCCAATTTTAGGCAGCCTCAACAGAAAGAGGCATTTTGAAGGGAAGGGCAAAGGAGCCCAATGGGGGGGCAGCCCTTTGCTCCCCATAACTGCCAGAATCCCCTGAAGGAAAAGTTTCTCCCCCATTGAAGATGACAGACCCTGAATCCCCCCTTCAGAGCAGGAAGGGCAGAAGAGCTTTTGGGGGATCTCATGATCTCTCTCGAGGATCCTTCCTGGGGGGGCTTTGGGGGGATTCAGAGGGAGACCCTCCCCAGACCAGGCTCTGCCTGCACCCAGCCGGCCTCCTTCCCAGCCGCAGGAACCGGCCATTCCTGGGGAAGGAGGTGGGGAGGGGTCCCTCTGACTCCCAGAGGGAAGCTTCTGCCCTGGATGAGGGGGGCAGGGAGCGGGGAAGGGATCCAGAGGGGATCTTGGATCTGGATCTCCTCCTTCAGCAAATGCTCCAACTGGCACAACTCTTGGATGGATTAATGGGGGGGGGTTAGTCTGGATGAGCCCCCCAAGAGAGTTGACAATAGATCCATTCCAGCCCAGAGTCCTTTGCTAACCATTTTGTTTTCTCTTGAGGGATTTTCTTATTAAGAGTAAATTCTATGATGCTTAAGAAGAACCCATTTTTAAATGGTTCTTTGTAATCCCAACCTGGGATCTGGTCAGGTTTCCACGCAGACAAATAGCAACATTTCAGGTGTGAGTTGTTTTCTTTTCTCAGGAAAATCCCATTTGCCTCTTGGGACATTAAAGGCCTTTGTGGAATTGCTAAAAGAAGGCAGAGGCTTTACAAACTGAAAATGGCCTTTTTTTTTTTTCAACAGGAAATGCAAATTTTGGATGAGAAAAAGACTTTTAGCAAGAAAATGGAAAGATCAGATTTTAAAGCTGCAATTTGGTATTTTTCCATTTTTATTTTTATAGCCCATCCCAAACCTCCTTATTTACAAGGCTGCAGTTAAGATTTTGGGTTCCAATTTGGCCAGATGGGAGTTGCTGGTTGAGAGCCTCTCTTGGTGGCCGGAGAAAAGCTTTGGCCTCTCGGGGGAAGGAGACGCCCGGATCTCTCCGGAGAGAAAAGTCAGCTCAGAAGTCAAAGAAAAAGGAAGAGAAAATTCCCCGAAAGAAACTCAAGAAACATCCTGTGATTTCAGGCCTCCTAAACTGGAGCTGCACCAACAATTTGCTCTAAATACACGGAATTTAATAAATATTCCTGTTCTTTTAATAAAGAACAGGAACCCCTGGAGAATTATTGGCCTCTTGTCTGAAGTATTTTCATGGAAGTAAAAATAATACTTTTGATGAAGAAGAAATTATATGAATCACAATGAAATTTAGGCTCACTATTTTGGATTTATAGTAAAAATGCATTCTGTTTATGTGGATAAAGCTTGTGAGCAGCTAAAGTAACAAACCATCCAGAGATAGGGAGGAAGGAAGGAAGGAGGGGAGGGAGGAAAAGAGGAGGGGAGGATGGGCTTTGGAGTCTTTGGGCAGCTGATGAAGCTCCTTTCCCTGAAGGGAAAATCCCCCCAGAGACCCCCAAAAGGAGGGAGGAGGGAGGGAGGCCCTGAGAGGCCCACAAAAGAGACACACTCACAACACCAACACAATTGGCACTTGGGGCACTTTCGGAGGTTATGGAAAAATCACTAGATAAATGAATCAAAGTGGTGAAATCTCTATATTAAATATTATTGGAATAAGAATTATTTCAAGTACTGTGCCAGATGACAAGAATGTTGAGCTGTTTGTAGGGGAAAAATGAACTTTAAATATCATCCAGAAACCAATTATATAGCTGAATATTATTATCTCCATGAAAATATCCTGTTTCAGTAGGAAAAACATTTCCAAATGCATCTTATGTGACAGGTGAAAATCCTCCTAGATTTGCAGGGAAGAATTTAGGAGCGAAAATGAGTTTTGCCTCCAGACTGAATATGTGGAGAGCAAAATCTCTGTTGGTTCCCCTAAAATATTCAATAATTCCCGGATGGAGCAAATGTTCTCAGAGGCTTTTCTAAAATCATTGATTTGCGCAATGCTTGGCCTCTGAAACCCCATCAGTGGATAGAAATATAGAAGATTTTTATTAGACAAAGAAATAAAATGTAGAAAAAGAAATGTAGGCAACATCGAAGGAATCTGGAAGAGAGAATGGAAGAATCTGAGGCTTCGGGGCTGAATGGAGGCCCAATTTCTTTCTTATGACCCCAAATTCAGTTTTAAGGTTTGTGGGTGTTTTTGGATTCTCCCCCCAAATCAGGAGCCTCCCCAGGAAGGAAGAACGGAAGAGATCAGGGTTCCTGTTATTGGGGTTTTTACATCTCGGTTTAAGCATTGAATCGTGATTACAAATTCTTGCCTGCTTCCGTTACTCATTTCTTTCTTTATTGGATTTAAAAGCTGCAGGACTGGAAATGACTCTGAATGAAGAAAGACGAAAGAAAAGCAGGAGATCCATAGAAAGGGGTCGACAGGTGAAAAAGTGTCCACTAATTCTTTTTTTTTATTTTGGGTAAAATAAAACCCACATTTTTTTATCCCAAAGTGCCAAAAGCAGCATTTCTGGAGCAGAGGAAGAGAGGGAGGGGCTTGTGGGTGGGAAGAGGGAGGGAGACGGGAGGTTCCTGAATAGGATAGAAATGAATCAGGGATAGAGAGAAATATATGTAGATACAGGGAGGCCTCGACTTACGACCACAATTGAGCCCAAGATTTCTGTTGCTAAGTGAGACGTTTGTTCAATAAATGTTGCCCCATGTTACGACCTTTCTTGCCACAGTCATTAAGTGAATCACTGCAGTTGTTAAATGAGTAGCAGGGTTGTTAAGTGAATCCAGCTTCCCCACGGACTTTGCTTATCGGAAGGTCACAAAGGGGATGACGTGACTCTGGGACGCTGTGACCGTCACAAGTACGAGTGTGTTGCCAAGCATCTGGATTTGGATCACGTGACCCTGGGGAGGCTGCAACGGTCGTAAGTGTGAAAAACAGTCATAAGTCATTTGTTTTCACTGCTGTTGTAACTTTCAACAGTCACTAAACAAACTGTTGTTAAGTGGAGGACTGCCTGCATTGAGCAGGAGAGAGAGAGACCTGGCTGGATTCCCCTCCCCCACCCCCACCCAAAAAAACCTTATCTGGATGGATTTTCTTGTGGGGGGGGAATGGATCGAAGGGATCCCAGATTCCAGGCAGGAGGAGAGTTTGGAGCCTGGGAAGAAGATTTTGTCCATCTGAGAGTGCAGAATAAATAAATAAATAAATGAGGAGTAAAACCTCCATCTGGGAGGATCCCAAGGAATGAAAGGAAAGGAAAGGAAAGGGGGGGTTCTGGTGTCCCCCTCCCAGGGAAGAGCCCCCCCCCAAAGACTCTCCTCTCTGGCCAATCAGACGCTCCTCCCTCTTGGCAGCCTCGAAATCTCCTGGCCAGGAGCGGGCACTGGGGAGACTCATTTATTTTATTAATTTTTCATTTCATTTCATTTATTTATTTATTTAATTTTATATATTCGTTTATTTTACTTACTTATTTACTTACTTATTTATTTATTGGATTGAAAAGATGCGGGAGTGGAATTGACTCAGAATGAAGAATAGAGAGAAAGGAGACCAGGAGAGAAAGGATTTCGTGGATTCTCTTTGAAGATTCTTTTTTTTTTTTATCCTAAAATCCCAAAAGCAACAGAGGGGGAGGGAGCCCCCCCCTTACTGGCCTTCTGGAAAGGGCTCCCAAGGGGGCTCTGGGGCTTTGCTGGGGGGGGGGCAGAGAGGGGGAGGCAGCCTGAATCCCCTGAAGCCTTTCAATTAAGTCTCTTCATGAATGAATGAATTGATTTTTCCACTGAATTGGAGTCATCCTTGCTTTTGAAACAACCACTAAATCTTCACCCGGGAGAGTCTCAATCAAGGGAAGGAAAAGGGGGTCCCCTCCCCCAAACTCCCCCCCAAACTCTTCTCCCCCCCTCACGAACTCACCTGTCCGACCAACCACGGAATTGCTCTGGAACACCCCGTAGTTGTGCCGGCAGAAGCGATCCACTTCGGCCTTCTTGTACTGTATGAAGCGCTCATCCCTGTTCCACCTGTCCACATCCACCTGCCCCAACTCCGTGACGGCCACGAACTTCCCGAGGTCGCTGTCGAAGTGGAGAAACTCCTGACGGTTGTAGAGTTGCCTGTACAGGTATCTCACCCGCTGCGTCCCGTTCAGGAAGCGGCACTCGACCTTCTCCTGGTACAAGAAATGGGCTGCGAGGGGGAGGAGGAGGAGGGCCGTCAGGAAGGACTCCAGGGCCCATCGCTCCCAGCCGTTGGGAGAGGAGGGGGGGACCCAGGTGGGAAAGGGGCGGGAAGGGGGACCTTCCTTGGACAGACTGGTGGAAGACGCCCCCTGGTGGAGGGAAGGGGAACTCTGTCAATCCCAGAGAGGAAGGGAGGCTTCCTGGGGGGTATGGAGGGGGGAGGGGAGGAAAGAGGAGGAGGGGTGGGAAAAGACAGGCAGAAGCTCAACCGGTCCAGCGATCCCATTCAGTCTCTGCAGGGAAGGTTGGATCTCAAGGGGCAGGAAGGATTGGGGGGGGCTGGAGGGAAAATAACATCCATCCCCCCCACTTTCTCTTCCTTTGGGAGGGGATCTGGGGAGGGGCCACAATGAGGACATCTAGACCGACTCTCCTGGGGCCTCCCAGCCCTTCAGTCCTCATCTTCCCTCCGTCTCTCCCCCCTTTTCTTCTTCCCCCGAATCTTCAGCCCAGCTCCTTCCCTTTGGGGGACTGTCGAGGATCCCCCCTCTTTCCTCTCCCCCTCCCCAAAAAGACCCCCTGCAGTTCACAGACAGTGAAGTTTCTGAAGAAGCCCAAAGACTTTTGCTCAAATGCCTCTTTTCTCTTCTGGGGATTCAGGGCTGAAAATGCCTCAGTTTCCCTCTTTCGCTTTTCCTCCCCTTCCTCTTTCCCTGCAGCCCCCTCCCACCCAGGCACAGGAGAGGCTGCCACCCCCACCTGGGCTACATGGGGGAAGGGTTAGGATTAGGGTCCCTCTCCGTCCTCCTGGGGGGGCTGTGGGGAGGAAGGGGGAGGAGACCACGCAGAGATCGAGGCTGCTGGAGGCTTCCTTCCCCCTTCCCAGCCCCCTCCTCCCCCGCCCAGCCCCCTCCTTACCGGGGGTCTCCTCCCCCCCTTCGCTCCCGGGGATCCGGGCCAGCGCCCCCAGCAGCAGCATCAGGGGGAGCCCAGCCAAAGCCATGGAGGCTCCCCACAAGCGCCCCAAAGGGGGGAGAAAGACGCTCCCAGCCCCAGAGGAGGAATCGGAGGGTCTGGAGGGGGGGAGGAGTTTTCCTCGGACTTCGGAAGAGGGAGAGTCCAGAAAGAGCAGGAGGACCAATGGGAATCCTCCCTTCTGTAGCGTCATCGGTCTCCGGGCAGAGCCTCCCTTGACTTCGCCCGATGCAGGAGAGAGTTCGGCGCAGAGAGAGAAGCGGAGAAAGTGGGGGAGGGGAATCCCTTCAGTCTTGGGGGGCTGCAATCTGGGGGGTCTTTCATGCCAGCTCCGTCTTCCTTTTGCCCCCCCCCCCATGATTCTCCTCCACTCTCCCTTTCTCTGGGCGCCTGGACTGGAGGGTGGACTAGATGCCCTCTGAGTTCCCACAGTGCCCAGAAGGAGCCTAACCTGGATCTGCCGGTAGTCCAGAAGGGCAAAGTGGATGCAGAGCTCGAGGGGTCCTTCGGGGCTCAGAAGGGGGGAGGGGCAGCCCCACAGCCAGCCAAGACTTGGGGGCCACACGCTCCCCCCAATCCGAAGGGAAGCCAGGAAAACCCTCAGCTGACAGTCCACGCAGGTCTGCAGGGATCCCTCCTAATCCAGCCGGATCCTCTCCCCAGCCCCTCCCCCTTCACGGGGGAATCTCCGTAGGGATCTCTTGGCTTTACAAGAGAAAAGGGCGTTTCCGTTCCTTGAAACACGCGTCTCCCTTGCTCAGAACGTCTGGACGGACCGGCTCCTTCAGGTTTCCCTCCCCTGAACCCCGGTTGTGTAGGAATCTCCCTCTTCCTTTCTCTCTGTGGGTCGGGATCCCCCTTTTCCAAGCAAAGCAGCCCCGGATGAAGATAATGCACCACAATCTCTACTTTCAGCAGAAAAAAATATTTATAAAGTTACATTTTGGAAGAAATTTTGCCATCTGATTGTGCAGATCCTGATGAGATTTGCCTATTTTGGCTGTGGGACAGGAAGAGCCCTAAAACAAAAGGCTCCGTTTTATGATGTTCCATGAAGATTATAAGGGCATGAAAGAGAGAATAAAAGTCTTAGGGAAATGGGGAAGGGAAAGAAAAGGGAAGGAGAAGTGGGGGATAAAGGGCAAAAGGAAAAAAGAGAGGAAAAAAACTTCTTCCCAGCACAATAAAATACAAAGTGAAATTGTAGTCTCTGTTTTTATTTCTTCTCTAAGTAAATATTAACCATTTCTATACCAACAACTTAATTTAATCAGTAAATCCCAAAGTCCAGATTTCATTTTTTTCAGCCTCAAGCACAAAATCCAGAATTGGCTTCCAGGTAGAAAAACAGCTGGAAATCTCTTCTTTCCTCTGGTCAAAAAGTTTTTTTTGCCATCTCTGCCAACTTTTTCATTCCATCACTTCGTCCATCCTGGGGATGGAGGTTTCTTTCCATTTTTGCATATGAGGAATTCTTGCTGCAGTCAGCATGTCCAGTAATAAAGTCATAAATTTATATTTCAAGTTCCTTGTCCAGGAATCCCGAAAGGAAAACTTCTGGTTTTCAACAGACCCAGAGAGATAAATCACATTTACACCCCATTCAAAAAAGACAATAATAAAGCTCGGAAGGGAAGAAAAAGACCCGCCTCCCCTCCAAGAGCCAACAGATAAGCAGGGATCAGCACCAGACAAAGAGGAAGGCAGGAAACCAGAACTCCAATCGAGGCTCCATCCAGGAGGGAAAGACAGCAACTCTGGCAGGGCCTAGAAACAGGCAGGAAACCCCCCTCGCCTCGGCCCTCAGGATCTTCCCTAGAGAGCCTCAGCCCTTCGACTTATACACTGCTTTATACGCTGCTTTTACAGCCCTCTCTAAGCGCTTGACAGAGTCAGCCTCTCCCCCCAACAATCTGGCTCCTCCTTTTACCCACCTCGGAAGAAGAGAAGTCTGAGTCCAGCCATGAGCACCCTCAGGATCAAACTCCTGGCTGTGGGCAGAGTCTGCCTGGTGGACTAGATGCCCTTTGAGTTCCCGCAGTGCCCAGGGGGAATCCAGGCTGGGGCTGCTGAGACTCCAGGAGGGCAAAGAGGAGCCAGGCTCAATTTGGGGGGAGGGAGGGAGCCCCCAGCAGCACCTGGACTCTCCAAGGGGTGGGGATGAGCTGGTGACTGTGGACATGAACACACACTGACCCCTCCCCACATTTCCTGGCCCCCAGGTGAAACCTCCAGGGAAGCCTCTGACCTTTGACCCCCTTCCTTCCTGGCACAGGGGCTGCCGGAGGGGAGGTCTGACCCCCAGCGCTGTGGGGTTTAGGTCGGTTTGGGTTCCAGAATGGCTGCTGTTGAGCTCAATGGGGGAGGGGGGGTGAATCAGAAGGGGGGGAAGAATCAGCCCCTGAAGGACTGCTGGAGCGGAGCCTGTCGGGGGTTCAGCCCAGAGTCTGGAGGGTCTCCGGCTGCTTCCTCTTTTATGGACAGTCCCAGCCTTTCTTCCCCCTCCCCCACAAGCAGGAGGGGGTGGGTGGGTGGAAGGCTGTGGGGGAGGGCTGATGGGGAGACTCAAAGGCTGGAAGGGACCTTAGAGATCTTCTAGTCCAACCCCGTGGCCTCCAGGGATGCAGGCCCCCTCCTCCCCACACAATTCCAGGTGGGGGGCTGCTCCATTGATTCATTGGTTCTCAGGGTCAGGAAATCCCTCCTGATCCCTTCCAGGTCGGATCCACCATCTCTGGGCTTCGGCTTCTGTCAGTTGAGGGGTGATTCCTGGAGATGCTGCCCCACTCCGGATCTGCTTGTGAGATCCCAAGTGAGCAAGCGAGATCCCAAGGGCAGGAGTGGGAGTCCAGTCGGTCTTCCCCTCCAGGAAGGGTCCCAAGTGGAGTTTCCCCCCACCCAGAGCCCAGCCAAGACCCCCCCATCCCCCTTCTCTTCCAGCCCAAGCCCAGAATTCAGGGAGGTTCCCCCCCATCTGAGCAGCGGCTCTTCCTCCGTCCCCCCCCCCAAATTCTCAGCCAAAGACCCTCAAGGCAGTTTTTCCTCCCTGGAAATTTTGAGGCTGTTTTTGTCCTTAATTCCCTCCAACTTTTGTAGGTGTGTTTGTACAAAACGTCTTTTGAAGAGAAATATCATTTCCAAATAAATGCAGCTTTTCCCTCCTTTCCAAATCTCTGCCGTGATTCCACCTTTAAACTCCATAAATCTCACAAACATTTTATGTAATGAAGGAGTTTGTTCTGCTCTTTGTTCTTTGCCAGGGAACTCAACGTTTTGCCTGCAGGGATCGTGAGAGAAAAAAAGAGATTCTATGGGGAAAGGAATCAGTCCTGGGGCTCCCAAGTCCTAAGAATCAGCCTCATGAGATGAATTTAGTTCTTCTGGAGGGGAGTTGGAGGAAACATTTTCCCAAAAGAAGGAGAAGAAAATCCATATCCACGGATAGGATCTGTCAGAGGATCTGAGTGGATTTTCTTCCTTGTAAAAGGTTTCAGGATTATTTAGGAAGGATGGATGGAGGGACAGTATATTAAACCGAAGAATAAATTTATAATTTATAGAACAACCTGGAATTTTAACAGAAATCCTGAGGACTTCAGGGATCCTATTTCCTCCACTATAGGATTACAGCCTTTTAACCATCACAGTCTGGAAATCTCCCCCCCCCCCCAAACTATCCCAAAAGGAGACCTTCTGTTTCTTCTTCTCCTCTTTCACTTCATCCATAGAAAACATTTTTTTCTAGTCTTTGCGGGAGATTCGGGTTCTGCTCAGTTACGCAAAGGCGGCTTAGAGAGATCCTGAATTCCGGATCCTGTTTCAAGAGCTTTGGGGTCCAGAGGTGGCCTGGGTCCTTTCCAGGGATGGGGGGGCTGGAGGGGTCAAACTCCCCCCTGGCCCAGCACCAGCCTCAGCAGCCCAGAGCCAGGTCCCCCCCCAGCATCTGCCCCACAGTTGTGTATCTGACACAGCCACTCACACACAGTCAGCCCCAGATCCAGGCAGCCTCTGTGGGGCCTCCCTCCCTCGCCTGACCCAGGCAGAACCTCTGGGCCCCTTTCATGCTTCCCCCCCCCAAATATTGTGCTCTTCTCCGAGTTCTCTCTTCCACACACACACACACACACACATACACACACACACACACACACACCCAGAGCAGCCCTTCCTTCTCCAGCCCCCAAGAGCTGCAGAGGCGCTTGGGCTTCGCTTCCCCAGCCTGAAGCTTTGGGCTCCTCCGAAGCGGAACTGAGGACCTGGCCAGGATCCAGCAGGCAACAAGCCTCCATTCTCCCTCAGGGCAGCTCAGGGACTCCCCTCCTCCTCCTCCTCCTCCGCCCCATGGCTGAGTCTGCAGGTGGGGCAGCCACAAGGTCCTCTGCCCCATTGGAAGCGGCTGAGGGGGCCCCTCCCCACCACCTCATTATAGGTCTCTGGTCCTTTTCTCCCTCAGTTAAAGCCCATTGAAGAAAGGAGTCCTTGACCTATGACGGTTCATTTAGTGACCGTTAGAAGTTACAATGGCACTGAAAAAAGTGACTCTTTGCCTAATATTCCTTCTTTTTAAAATATTTTTTATTGCTTTGAATGTTTTTTAATACTTTCATGTAAATACCTGTTTTTATTTACCTCACTTGTTGTCAGATGAGGGGCTACATAAATGTGAGAGAGAAGATGAGAGAGAGATGATGGGTGGATGGATAACCTTATTATTTTAAATATAAGTAGAGACAGTAGAAGCTTATTCATCCACATCAGTGTGTTGTCCATTCGTTGCAGCCTCTTTAAATACGTTCCAATTTCTGCCCTTGAAGGAATCTCCTCGTAGAGCCTCCACGGCTTCTGCCGGCCTCAGTCTCCCTAGTTCTCTCCTGGGTCCTCTTTGAGGAACCTTAAAGGCTTCTCTGCTGACCGGAGCCTCCCAGAGAGAGGATCGGAGGGGCCAGGAGGAGGAGGGGGAGGGGTGGCCTCAAAGGCTCCCTGGGGGTTGGAGAAGGCCCCGTCCAGGGTCTCCCCTCCCCTGGTGGCCAAGGCCCCGTATGGGGGGAAAGGAGGGGGGGCTGCTTCCAAGGCGGCCTCTGGTCTGCTGGGTTTCCCAGGAGCCTCTTTCCTCTTCCACCAGGCCCAGAACCTGCCTCCCAGGTGAGGCCAGGGGAGTCCAAGCCCCCCATGACTCT